CCCACAACCAGAAAAAACTAAAGGGTACCACGGCGACCTGGAGTGGAAGCATGTGGAGGTTTCTCCGACTAACGCTGCCAGGAGACAAACCCTAAACCTTAAACCCTAAACCCTAAACCCTAAACCCTAAACCCTAAACGGTCTTTGCAGGTGCTCACTGCCAAGCCTACTTCTTGAGTCAGCGCACCAGGACATCCTAGAACCGTCCTACGTATGCCGTATATGCCCATGGGGTTTAGGGTTTAGGGTTTAGGGTTTAGGGTTCATGCCTGCAACCGCGTGGTGTGCTGCTAGTCACAGATCCGCATAGCGCCCTTGTCATCTGCCCCTAGCCTGGGTCACTCTGCAGGGGGCAAGAACCACAACTAAAAACCACCTTTAACCCTCTGAAAAATAGATTCCTCGACGTGATCCTCTTCAACCCCATAAGGGGTAAATTCAGCATAGACCAAGGCCCTGCCTAGACCGGAGCAACCCTAAACCCTAAACCCTAAACCCTAAAGCCCCATTAACCGGCCTCTTCGGGGTCTGGTGCAATCGCGAGGTGATGTTCCTTGGTCTGGTCTAGTTATTTTTAGGGTTTAGGGTTTAGGGTTTAGGGTTCAGGGTTTAGGGTTTAGGGTTTAGGGTTTAGGGTTTAGGGTTTAGGGTTTCGGGTTCAAGGTTCAGGGGCTCTAGGGTTCAGGGAGGATCCCGAGCCCCTGGTCTCTACACATGCCACAGGCGCAGGGGCGAAAGCCTTGGAAAGCCTACAGCCTCCGGAGACGGATGTCAAGAGCGAAAGCATGCATCTCTTTATCTTCATCACCGGCATGCTCTCCCGGGGTTTAGGGTTTAGGGTTTAGGGTTTAGGGTTTAGGGTTTAGGGTTTAGGGTTTAGGGTTTAGGGTTTAGGGTTACTGACACCCTAAACCCTAAACCCTTTTTCCTGAAACCATAAGCCCAACAACACCCAACTCCCAGCCTGCTAACCTGTAGAGACTCTACACCCCAAACGACTCAATCCACAATCTCAAAACCCACAACTTCTACTCCCAGCCTATCCCATCCCCCAAAAAAACCTATCAGCCCCTAAACCCTTCATCAAACCCAAAACCCAAAACCCTAAGCCACCAAGCCTAAACCCTAAACCCTAAACCCTATAAAACCCCAAACCCTAAACCCAAAACCCTAAGCCACCAAGCCTAAACCCTCACACCTGCGCAGAGAGCCCCTGGCGCGAACTGTTTGAGCTTGAACTTGGCATCTGAGTCCTCCTCCTTCCTGGCACAAGAGTGCTGTAAGGGTTTAGGGGTTTAGGGTTCGGGGTTTAGGGTTTAGGGTTTGGGGTTTAGGGGTTTAGGGGGTTAGGGTTCGGGGTTTAGGGGTGAGAGGGGGTTATAGGGTTGGTCAACTCTTTTTGTGAGAAGGGATTAAACCCCTAACCCCTAAACCTTAGGGTTTAGGCATTCTTTTAAGGGCTCAGAGGGGCGTAGCTGGAACTTGCAACTCCTATGAATTTGTAAGTAGGGCGTGGAGAGATGTTGGTAGGGCGCAAAAGCCATAAACCCCAAACCCCATAACTTAAAAACCCTCTAAACCCCATAATAACCCTATAATGACCCTATACTAACCCTAATTATACTAACCCTATAAACCCTAGAAACCCTAAACCCTAAACCCTAAACGCCCATCAAAACATGGCCAGGGCGGCTCACCGCGCCGACGCAGGACGTCGCGGCTCATGGCGCGCACCATGCGCACGTTGTCGCGCCTCTTGTTGTTGGTTAGCAGGGAATGGGTTTAGGGTTTAGGGTTTAGGGTTTAGGGTTTAGGGTTTAGGGTTTAGGGTTTAGGGTTTAGGGTTTAGGGTTTAGGGTTTAGGGTTTAGGGTTTAGGGTTTAGGGTTTAGGGTTTAGGGTTAGGGTTTAGGGCTTAGGGTTTCGGGTTTAGGGTTCCCTATGAAATCCCTTAAAGGGCATACATAGGGCCCTCATTCCCTCATTCCCTGCTAACCAACAGTAGGCCCTGGGCTTGGGGGGAGCCCGGGATCCCGGGAAAGCATGGAGTAGAGTTAAACTCATGGCTTCGGGTTTAGGATTTGGGGTTTTGGGTTTGGGGTTTAGGGTGCTGGGTTTGGGGTTTAGGGCTGAGGGTTTAGGGTTTTGGGTTTTCCCTGCGCCGACCGCAAGCCATATGTAAGGTATATGGGCCACCACTCTTTTTTCTCAAGGGTTTTGGAGGAATTTTCATATTCTCCAAGTTTCCTCAGAGTGGACCTGAACTAACACCAAAGGGGGCGCTCGGGTATGTGGTCGGTAAGGGTGCTCTTCCCGTAGTTGCCCTAAGCTCTAAACCCGAAAGCCACAAAATCCAAAGCCATGAAACCCCACCAGTAGAAAAAACTCTGCAACCCTACCGAAGGGGTACCCGTCCCTAAACTGGCCTGAGCCCGCCCAGAAGCTTCCCCGAACCCCAAACGCATTTCCCCCGAAGTCTCTTCACCTACTGGCTGGGTCTTCTTTTTTGCGGAGCCATAAGGAGGGTGATGGTGCGCAAAGAGGGCTAAAGGTTGCTTGGTTCTCACACGTTTACGTTTATACCCTACACTGCAAACCTGAACATATCCAGCTGCTGCATTCGAGAGGCTTGCAATCCCGCGTGTGCTGAGGCTTCTTCTCACCGATCCTCGGTGGGGCGCAAACACAGAAGTACTGTCTCATGGGCCTAAACCCTAAACCCTAAACCCTAAACCCTTAGGGGGGCTAGGTGTTCACCTGAAGAACAAAGCACAACCCAGCCCTGTAAGCTTCAGATCCCAAGCTGGGTCGGCCACTAAACTCTCTAAACCCTAAACTACAAATTGCTTAACAACCCCGCAAAAAAACAAAACATAATTCCCTATAAGGGTAGTATAGGGATCGTTTTTTGTTTCTTCTTTTGGGGCTCTTAAGCAAATATTAGCAAACCCTGCCAGCTTCAGATCCCAAGCTAGGTCGGCTGCAAGTTGCCCACTGTTCCGGTTTTGTGCCTGCAAGACTTGCGCAGGGACTGTGAAATCGGTCCAAAAAGAAACATCTTGGAGGCTCCGTGGATTTTTGGATGTCGAGGGGTTAGGGTTTAGGGTTCAGGGCTTAGGGCTTGGGGTTTAGGATTTGGGGTTTAGGTTTTAGGGCTAGAGGTGACGTTGCAGGACAGAGGCCTTCGATTTTGGCAGAATCGAATCCTGGTCTGCTGGGGCGTAGAGAGATAGGGTGTCCATGGAGGCGCAGGAGCCTGTGATTCTTTGGGCAGGGCTTCGGAAAGCTTTGCTGGACCCCCTCCTAAGGTCCTAAATCTGGCAACTGCCTCAAATCGGGGTGTTCGGGACCACCTATCAGACCTGCTCAGTTAGTCTGGGGAGACCCGAAACCACTATCGCGACGTCTTCACGCGGCCACCAGAGACTCCTTATCCCCATACACGCTGTAGACCCCAAACCCCAAAGCCCTCCACTCCACCAGTACCACCTTAAAGCCTCCAAAGCCTTAAAGCCAGGGCCGTTTCCCTCTAAACCCTAGACCGCCTCATCGCGATGCGCGCGCAGTCGGACGTGGATGGCGGCATGGCGGCCAATCACCGCAGTGTCTTTGAGAACTGCAACAAAAAATCTCCGAGAACCCAGATGTCTAGGGTGGGCCACTGGGTGCGAGAGGGTGTGCACTCTAAGCTCGGGCTGCTCTGATTCGGCAACTCAGCTGTAGCTGGCCTCCTGCTGCCAGCTTGTCTAAAAACCTACTTCCTCAAGCCTCGGTGCAGATGCATCCACAGCTTTTGCTAACAAGAGGGCGCGACAGGCTCAAGCTCCGAGGTCCATCCGCCCTTTCCCTGCCCGCCCCCCAACCTCCTAAACCCTAAACCCTAAACCCTAAACCCTAAACCCTAAACCCTAAACCCTAAACCCTAAACCCTAAACCCTAAACCTTTGTCCTAAACCTTTGTGGCCACCGAAGCGCCAGTAGCGCAAAGTACCCAAAAAACTGGTCGAGTGCAGGCGCTCTCCTTTGGAACGGCTTGGCTTGGCTTGGTGAGTAGGTGAACTTTGGTGGACTACATGAACCCTTAAAGGGGGCTTGCTGTCCATAATACGCCTTCAATGGTGATTCTGGTAGCGCAGCCGTAACGACACCCATTTGTTCATGCGGCATGTGGTCCTCGAGGATCTGCGTGATTGGATGGAAGATAAGCTGAGCTCACCATCGCATACCACCACAAACTAGGCCCTCTCTGTTCAAGTCAAAGACAAACCACACCCCGATTGCTGTTGTTTGAAAGTGCCGTAGAGGTACGCGGCCGCAACCACGCTCTTTCAGCACAGAGACAAACCCACACCTTAGCCAAAGACACACCACACCCCGAAGCCCTCAGACCCCAAAACCATAAAACTTCCTAGGGCCCTAAACCCGTAAGATCCGAAAGCCCTATGTTGATAAATCCTAAGACCCTAAATCTTCAATGAAAACCCTAAACCCCACACCCCAAGTTAATTCAACCCCGAACCCCAAAGCCCTGCGTGTCGCCAATTCTGCCACTGGGACCCCTTAAGCAAGCTTCATGCGGCATCGGAAGGCCACCTACTCCTCCAGCCCCCCACAACAAGGGATGAGGATACGGCTTCAAAGCCTTTGCTGATGGAGGAGCTCCTCAACAGCACGCAAGTTGCCTCCAGTTTTTTGTCCTCTTGGCGCGCGCGTGTGCCTAACTACGACATAATTCCGACACCTTTTGTGCTCATTGCATGGGCAAGCTTTGACACATTTCGCTCTCTTGCCCTTGCTTCTTCAGCTTGAGCCACCCTGAGGCGAGGGCCGCATCAAGTAGTGGGGCAGGGTACGTATCTCTTGCTCATGTGTCTCAAACCATGGGGTATCAGCCAATCTCCTGAAAGCTAGTTTTGAACCCGTACACATCTAGCCACACCGACATCGGCTGCCATTGAAGGCGCCCACGAGGCAGTGAACTGCTTTCGGTGAACTGGCCACTCATTTGCCTTTGCCTGCCAAGCGCAACAACCCGCGAAGGGTGTGAGGTTCAAGGGCAAAGGAGGCGCCGGGTTGATCATGCGAACCCGAAACCTGAAGAACCCTAAGCCCTAAACCCTATAAACCCTGAATCTAAACTAAAACAGGTAGGAACCCTAAACCCTCAACCCTAAACCCTGATTATCTTAGGCTAGATACAGGGCCTGTCCGCTCGAAACATCAGGATGCCGGCTCATGTGCTTTTTCCCTTTAGAAGGTTCTTCGCAGGGGCTTCGCAGGGGCGTTTTAGGGTTAAGAGCTACAAGGGTTTGGGGTTTTCGGGCTTTAGGGTTTAGGGTTGTTTAGGGTTTAGGGTTTAGGGTTTGGAGTTTAGGGTTTAGGGTTTAGGGCTTAGGCCTTTTTTTAGGGCTGCTTAGGGTCTTCAGGTTTTGGTGTTTCGGGCTGCGCAATACCTCTGCTTCTTGAAGCTCCTCGAGGTGCATAGGGTTTAGGGTTTAGGGTTTAGGTTTTAGGGTTTAGGGGTTTAGGGTTTAGGGTTGCGTGCCTCCAGCCTCTCACTCGGCGCTTGCTGGGCTTGGCATCTACGGTTTTGGGGTGGACCCTAAACCCTAAACCCTAAACCCTAAACCCTAAACCCTGAACCCGAAACCTAAACCCTAAACCCTGAACCCTAAACCCTAAACCCTGAGATGCGCTCAATCGCACCAGGCCGGCGAGCCTTTTCCTCCTCCCTTTTTTCCTTTTCCGCCTCAGGTGAAGGGCACTGTGCAGGCGAGCTCAAAAGACCACCAAGTGCAGGGCAACGCGCTAAATCCCAAACCCTGAACCCCACAACCGTAAACGGCTCAAATTCTTTTAAGGTCGCTCGAATGCCAACTTCATGTCGCTGGTGGCTACATAGGGCACAGGGTTTCATCTAGGATTCGGCACCTCTCTCTCTCTGTCTTTCTCCTTCGAAGGAGAATCTTTCTGTCACTGACGTAGCTTCTAGGGGTTTGGGTTTTATAGGCTTCTGGCTTGAGGACGCTAAGCCAATCAAGCCCCTCAACCCTGGTCATCAATCTACGGGCATTGAGGCTTGTGGGCTAGGGTTCAGGGTTCAGGGTTCAGGGTTCAGGGTTCAGGGTTCAGGGTTTAGGGTTCAGGGTTCAGGGTTGAGGGTTCAGGGTTCAGGGCTTCGGGCTTAGGGGCTCCCTTCAAGGCGAGGTCGGCCTCCACCACCTTTGCCACCTTTCCCGCCGCCTTGTGACATGCCACCGAGGGGAAAGGCCGGTCTCTGAGTCAAGGGAGTCATAATATGGGGGTTTCCGAAATTGGGGGTTTTTGGGGTTTAGGGTACCTTACTGGGGTCCTTGTTGTAAGGGACTCCTAGTAACCTAGTATTTGGGGACTCCATTGGGGGTCCCTTATCTTCGTAAACCCTCATACTCGGACCCCTAAGGACAGGATCTTTAAAACGGGTCCAGCCCTCAGAAGGCTTGCAATCCACCTAAGGCGAGCTGCTGTTGGGGGAGCTTCAGGTAAACCCTAAACCCTAAACCCTAAACCCTAAACCCTAAACCCTAAACCCCAAACCCTAAACCCTAAACCCGAACTCCAACCCCCAAAAATCTGATCCTCTGAGGCTGGCAGTGCGCCGAGCAGCAGGACACTAGGGCCCGAGGATCCTCCAAAGTTTTCGAGGTGCACGCACCCAAGCCCTAGAGGCAAAGGGTTCCCAAAGGGTTGTATAATAGGGTTTAGGGTTTAGGGTTTAGGGTTTAGGGTTTAGGGTTTAGGGTTTAGGGTTAGGGGGCATTCGCCCTCAACGGGAACGTTTTCAAGCTACCCTCCCGACCTCTCAAACTCCAAGCCATAGCGGAAGGATTTGGGAGCTTCCTCTGGGGTTCTGGCATCCTGGATTTCTGAAACTTGCATCCACAATCCACAACCCCTAGCTAAACTAAATACCCTAAATACCCTAGATACCCTAAATACCCTACATACCCTACATACCCCAAACAACCCTAAATACCCTAAACCCTAGATACCCTATACAACCCTAAATACCCTAAATACCCTACATACCCTAAGCCCTTTCAGACCCGCACCTTTCCCACCATCTTTGCCGCCGCCCTTGCCGAAGCCACCTCCTCCGCCTTTCTTGCCGCCGCCTGGAGCGACATTGGGGCTGGAATCTTGGCTGCACTCAGGAGGGTAGCTATAAATTAAACTTTTAACTGCCTTAATAAGAAGCCCAATAAACCCAAAAAAGGTAAGGATCTAAAGTTACGGCAAAGTACCACAAAGGAACGTCCGGAACCTTTGAACGATGCCGAAACACCTAAACCCCAAACCCTACACCCTAAACCCCAAACCCTATAAACCTTTAAGCCGTTAAGACGGAAGGTTTTGTCGGAAGGTTTAACGGTTTAGGGCTTAGGACTTGAAGGTTTAGGTTAGATTATCTGGGTGAGCTCCAATTTTCGTTTTTTTGTTCGGGGGGGATGTGACGCAAGCGCCCTCTCTGAATTCCCACTCAATGGAAACTCCTCACAATATCCGACGGTCAGCATTTGTAGCCCTGAACCCTAAACCCTTAACGGAGGAGAGCAAAGGCTTAGGCCAAATTCTCAGGAGCAATCTCGAATCCCAAGCCCTTGAAGGTTTAGGGTTTAGGGCGAGGGTTTAGGGTTTAGGGCTTAGGAAGACCTAGCCGGATACCAAAACCCGAAGCCCTGAATCCTGAAGACCCTGACTCCCCCTATGGGTGCAGAATGCCTCAAGCACCAGAATTCGACACCGTGAGCAGAAGGTTCAGGAGCTTCTAGGGCAAACCCTGAGCCCTAAAGCCCTCAGGTGACATCGGGGACCCTACGCCTTAAACCCCAAAAACCCTACGTACATCCAGGACCCGAAGCCATAAAACCCTAACACCCGATGTACATCAGGGGCGCTCAGCCCCCAAACCCTGAACCCTAAACCGTTTTCCCTAAACCCTAAACCCATTTTCCCGAAACCCGAAACCCTAAACCCGAAACCCGAAACCCTAAACTCTGAACCCAAAGCCCCTAAAACCCTAAACTCTGAACCCAAAGCCCCTAAAACCCTAAACTCTGAACCCAAAGCCCCTAAAACCTTAAAGACCTACGGGGACAACAGGGGGCCTCCTTTGCCGCCTCCGCCTTTGCCCTTGTCGCCGCCCTTCTTCGACTTGCCTGGCATCCGGCATTTAAGAGGGTTTTAGGGGTTTAGGTTTTAAGAGTTAGGGTTAGGGTTTAGTTTTAGGGTTTCAGGGTTTTAGAGTTTAGGGTTAGGGCTTAAGGCTCAGGATATGCGACCGGGTGCTTTGTCTTGATGGGTTGAGCAGGATGGTAAAGGCGCGCTTCGCATGTTTCAATGCCAGGCGCTTCGGATGGTTTATGGGCTTCGGATGATGCAGGACAGGAGGGCCCGTGGGACGGGGTTTGGGGCAATCTCTCTACACCCTTGGAATCAACTGGGTTGCCTGGGGGTTGAAGCCCCGCCCCCCCCCCCCCCCCCCCCCCCCCCCCGAAAAACAAAAAAAACATAAATGCGGGTGCAATCATTGAGGCATATTGGGGCCCTATAGCTTAACTAGAACGGGGTACTTGGGGTGTTTCATCATCTTGTGAGGGAATAATGATGCTCCTCTCCCTGGCCCCCCTCGTGCCTTTGCCGCCGCCGCCCTCGCCATTCATGTCCTTGCTGGCTTGAGGATTTTAAACAGTCTGTGGGGTTTGGGGCTTAGGGTTCTCGACCTCAGGGTCTCTAAACCCTAAACCCTAAACCCTAAACCCTAAACCCTAAACCCTAAACCCTAAACCCTAAACCCTAAACCCTAAACCCTAAACCCTAAACCCTACTCCTTAACCCTTAAACCCTAACCCCGAAACCCCAAACCCTAAACCGCATAGGTTCCCAAAACCCTAGCCCTTAGCCTCTGCGGTTCCGGCTCCTTAGTTCCTTCAAGCCATGCAGGCCGATCCATCGAAGAGGGTTTAAGGTTTAGGGTTTAGGGTTTGGGGTTTGGGATTTAGGCTCTATGGGGCTTAGGGCATGGGGCTTAGGCCTTTTGGGCTTCTTTTTCGTCAACCTTCCCCCCCGAAGGGGTAGAGAAAGGATGCTGGGCGGGTGGGTTCGGGGGCCCCACCGGTAGGAAGCCTGTGAACCACACACAACAAAGCATCCGAACCTCCCTCAACTGGGGCCGAAACTTGGACCCGGCCTTCTTCAAGATTTTGGAAGGGAATAGAAGGGCCACATAAGGAGTCCTTTAAGGGAGCCTCAACCCTAAACCCTAAACCCTAAACCCTAAACCCTAAACCCTAAACCCTAAACCACATTAGGAGTCCGTTGAAGGACCAGGAGTTTTTGAGGGGCACATCCTCAGGGTCCAAGTTTGACTCCTTTGACCCTCAGCGACCCTGAGTCCGTAACCCCAAGCCCTAGAAAGCCCTATAAAGCCCTAAGCCCTAAAGCCCTAAAGCCCTAAAGCCCTAAAGCCCTAAAGCCTAAACCCTAAACCCTAAACCCTAAACCCTAAACCCTAAACCCTAAACCCTAAACCCTAAACCCCTCAAGCGCTGCTCCTGGTGCCCCGTCTCTTCCCCGTCTTCCGGGTAGGGACCAGGTTTCGAACCGTCCATGTTTTGGACGTCCTTGGGGGGCCGGGGGGGGTGCGCCCTGAGTTACCTTTGTCTGTGGGGATCTGGGGCTTAGGGCTAGGGTTTAGGGTTTAGGGTTTAGGGTTCAGGGTTCAGGGTTCAGGGTTCAGGGTTCAGGGTTCAGGGTTCAGGGTTCAGGGTTCAGGGTTCAGGGTTTAGGGTTTAGGGTTTAGGGTTTAGGGTTTAGGGTTTAGGGTTTCAGTAGCATACCGCTGGTAGCACGGTCCAGGAACCTAACTAACCCTCCCAGCTCCAAGGATACATCGCCCAGGCCCGAAAACCCTGGAAACCCTAAAGCCTAAACCCTCAACCCTGAACCCTAAACCCTAAAACCTGAACCCTAAACCCAAAACCCCAAACCCTAAACCTCAAAGTGCGACGGCCCCCCCCCAGCGACGCCTTGGCTTGGGGGTGGCCGTCCTTGTTTGTCCTGGCAGGGAAGAGCCCTCGGATGAGAAAGGGTCTCCTGTAGTTGCTGAGTACTACAGGGGCCTAAATTGGTAGGTTGTTTTTTTTTTTTTTTTTTTGGGGGGGGGGGGGGGGTATTGTAGTATAGGTATGAAGGGACCATAAGGGAATAGTATTAGTAATCATTCCGACCCCTGTACTACCCTGGGCCGAAAATAGGCTAACCTTTCAGTTCTGTTAAAATTACTATATACCCCTTATACTTTATACAGGGTTTATAGGTAAAGGGTATATTCGGCTTAGAGGGTTACTGAAATAACAATGACGACAACAATAGTAGTAACTAGTAACAATAATTCTAACAACCACACTCAAAATGCCACAAAACAAGATACAAGTAGTCATCGCAGCAACAGTAACAACAAGAACAGTAGTTCATGTTGACAGTCATAAACACAATTGTATTCACAATAAGAATGACAGCAATAAAACTTATGAAGGCCGGTGGCCTCGTTATCGGTTACCCTTATACCTTAATATGGCCCCTAGATACCCTAATAAGAACCCTCTACAAAACAGAAACCCTACTTAAAGAGACCACCGACCAACATAAAATAAAACTAATAGACGTGACGCCGGTCCTAACTTCGAAGGTGATGTCGGCGCCGACGGGGACGTCGCCCAACTGCGCCTGCGTTGGAAAGTACGAGGGAGTTGCTCTCCATGTACCCTAAACCCTAAACCCTAAACCCTAAACCCTAAACCCTAAACCCTAAACCCTAAACCCTAAACCCTAAACCCTACACCCTACACCCTACACCCTACACCCTAAACCCTAAACCTAAAACCCAAACCCCAAACCCCATCCCTCCCGCGCCTTGTGGATGAAAACATCCCGGCCAAACTTGTCGTTGGCTGCCGGGCAGTCGATAAAGCCAAAGCCGTGCTTTGAGTTGAAGGTCTTCACCCGGCCCTGGCACAGGGTTTGGGGATGCTTAGGGTTTAGGGTTTAGGGTTTGGGGCTTGGGGTTTAGGGTTCAGGGTTTAGGGTTTGGGGTATAGGGTTTAGGGTTCAGGGCTTGGGGTTCTGGGTTCAGGGTTTTCGTTAGGGTTTAGGGTTTGGGTTACCGGTGTCGGGGTTTAGGTTCAGGGCTTAGAAGTTAGGCTTTGGGGCTCCTACAGGTGTTGAGGCTCACTTACTCGACTGCCAAGCGGAACGGTTCAGGGTTTAGGGTCTAGAGGGTTAAGGGTTTAGGGTTAGGGTTTCGGGGCGCAGCTTCAGTGTCGCCCGCCTGGTACCGGCCATTTTCTAGGGCTCCTCTGCCACAACCTTTGCCGTCCATGGGGGGCCTTGGCGCTCGCGCATCTGATTGTAGTCTCCTACAAGGAGTTTGTGGCATTGAGCCTTGAACCCTAAAAACCCTATACGGTCAGTACTCTAAATTCTCTTCCTGCGGGCGCCGTAGAGTAAGGACCCCATATTTTAGAGAAGTGACCATATGGCAGATTTGGATACTAGGATGTCAGGAATATCGCAGTTGCAGAGGTTCATGTTTGCCGAGTCAGGTAGCAGGGCTCCAGGAGACGTTGTACTTCTGAAACTTGGTTTAGGGACCCTGAGCCAGCATGACCGTGAATTACAGTCACAGCTAAACCCTTGAAACCTTAACGGTAACCTAAGGATGACAGGGCTCCCGTTCCTGCAGGAGGTTTAGTATACGGATCCTAATCCTCAAGAAAAGGAGCAAGCGAATCTTACGCTCAGTCCCCTTCGCGAAACCCCCAAACCCTGTAAACCCTACAAACCCTATAACCCCTCTAACCTGCTATGAACCCTATAAGCCCCATAATCCCCAAAACACCTTTTACCCCTATAAACCCTATGAACCCTACAAAAATCTCCTGTAAGCCCTATAAGCCCTGCACCCTAAACCCTATAAGCTATAAGCAAGACATGAAAGGTGCCCAGGCTTTTCTTCAAGCGCTGTCGGTTCCAGGCGGACCACGGTCCGGGAGACCGGCTGCAGAGGGTTTGGGGCTTTGTGGCTTTTGGGGTTTAGGGTTTAGAGTCTAGGGGTTTAGGGTTTAGGGTTTAGGGTTTAGGGTTTAGGGCGTTTAGGGTTTAGGGTTTAGGGGGGCTTAGGGCCTACCGGGGGGTTTGAGGTTGTTGGGGGAGGTGGGGGTTTAGGGGTCTAGGGGGGCTAGTGGGATCGGGGTTTAGGATTGCAGGAGATGGGCCTTTGCCGCGAAGGTCGAAGCGGGTCTCTTGCGGGTTTCTGCCTTCTGTGACACGCGCTGTGCCACAGCCTACAAGCGTCAAACCACAAAACCTAGCCTCACCACCTGGACTATGTAACAACGACATGGCCTATACGCAACCACTACATGCCTAAACCTCTTAAACCCTAACGCCACAAGACACCGTAAATCCCCGGCCCTTCCAGTCTTTGGTGTTCAGGAGCCAGCCGCAGCCAAACAGCGGCCCACCAGCAGAAAGCGCAAAGAGGGCGCTCCACTCTGGATGGCTTTGCCCTGAAAGCTGAGGGCTTTTCTGGGGTTTGGAGTTGCTTAAGCCCTAGACACTAGACCCTAAGGAAAGCCCGCAAAGGGGGCCTTGTAGTAGGGGTAGCCCTAAACCCTAAACCCCAAACCCCAAACCCCAAACCCTAAACCCTAAACCCTGGGGGGGGGTCCTTGTAGTAGGGGTTCTCAAAGAGCTGAAGCGCCAGCCCCGCCGAGGCAGCTATCCGCTGGACCTGCCCCGCCTCCTCGCCACGACAGGGCTTTCTGGCTTCAGGGCTTATAAGGGTTCAGGGGATGAGGGATGAGGGTTTAGGGCGGTTTAAGGTTTAGGGTTCAGGGTTTAGGGTTTAGGTTTTAGGTTTTAGGGTTAAGGGTTTCGGGTTCCTACACCTTAATTACACCCTCCAGGTAGGGTCGATGTGCAAACTGGCGACTGCAGGAGCTTTGCTTCTCTGCCTATTGCTGTACAGGGGATGGGGGGATTCGGGTTTAGGGTTCAGGGTTCAGGGTTCAGGGTTTAGGGTTTAGGGCTCCTGATCCTGAAGTCGAAATCGTCTTGGTGCTTTCACTCGCCTCCCCTGTTGCTGCAGGGGCAAGCCTGTCCCAAATTCTGAACCCCAAACCCTAAACCCTTTAAGTCCTAAACCCAAAACCCTAAACCCCAAACGCCAAACCCTAAACCCTAAACCCTAAACCCTAGCCCTAAACCCTAAACCCCGAATTCACCGAGCGGCGATGTCGAAGTATGTGGCAAAGACGCACACACCACCAGGGAGGAGACTTCGCGCGACATTGGCGAGGATGGACTGCCAATTTTTCCTCGCGTATCCCTGAGCCCTGAAGCTCAAGGGGAAGGGAAGACAGGGCCTTTGAAAATTTAGGGTTGGGTTTAGGGTTTAGGGTTTAGGGGTTGTAGGGTTTGGGGTTTAGGGTTTAGTGTCCTTAGCTTAGGTGAAGAAGTGGCAAGACATGAAGCAGCGGAACAAGGAAAGTTGACAGATCAGGTGCAGAAGTCATGCATTCGGTTTCGGGACTCCCCCACCCCCCCCGAGTAACCCCCGCCCTCCCCCACTCAACCCCATGCTACCCCCCCCTCCCCCCCGCCCGCCCCTTCCCCGTGCGCGCCTGGTGGCCTCTGGATGGATTCCCAAGCTCAAGGAGCCTCTCCGTGGGGAGGAGGCCTAAACCCTAAACCCTAAACCCTAAACCCTAAACCCTAAACCCTAAACCCTAAACCCCAAACCCCAAACCCTAAACCCTAAACCCTAAACCCTAAACCCTAAACCTAAACCCTTTTGGGGCCCTTCCAGGAACTTCGCTTAGGGTTGGGCTCTCTCTCGGGGGTTGGTGTTGTAGGAGAAAACTTTCTGCAATGGGCTACAACCTCCAAAGTATGAAACCTCTGAACCCCTGAACCCAACAACCCGAAACACAAGACCCAAACCGAAACCCTACGGACAAGTTGTGGGACACTGGGCTCAATGTTTACGGTGGCCTGGGTTCCCTTTTGCAAGGGGCAATAAGCTCCAGGCCCTTTAAGTCTCCCAAGTCCGGGCATTGAGGGCAGAACAATGCTAGGTTTCCTTTGTATTCAGTGATTCAAGAACACCTCACCCCTGACGGGGGGAGGCGGTGTCAAGCTAAACACACCTGCCCGAAACCCTACATTCGTTGAATCTACAGAAGCACGAACAATCCTGAGTGGCCAAGGCTCCAGCAACAACCCTGAACCCTCATCCCCAAGGACGCCGAGGCTGTCGGGGCCCCGGCATTTCGGCAACGATTGGCTCGCCAAGTCCAACTCAACGCACTGGAGAACCATGTTGGGGTAGCTTCCTGTTTTGGGGTTCGTAGGGCCCTATATACCCTATACTATAGGGTTTAGGGCTTAGGTTTAGGGCTCATTAGAGGGTTTTCGCTAAACCTTAAGCTCTGTGGTTCACTTTGTAAGAGTTTCGGTCCATGCAGGGTTGAGAGGGAGACACAGAGAGAGAGAGAGAGAGAGAGAGAGAGAGAGACAGAGACAGAGGCAGAGACATAGACAGAGACCAAGAGCCGAACTTAACCAAGCGCTTGAGTGGAGCAGATTTATCATCCATGGGCATTTAGTCTCGCGAGGCTAACATCTAAATGGTCATAACAGTGTATTACTAGCAGGGCAACGGACCGTGGCACGTGCCAGACTGGATGAGCAATTATATTCAAGCTTTAGCCCTGCTGGGTTTAGGGGAAGTCAGAAAGTTTCTATGGGGTAATCAGGCAGGGATTAGGGCCCACCAAACTTAAAAGCTAGATCTGAAATCTGCTGAATTGCGGCAAGCTGCTGCGCACCCATTCCTTCCAGGCACTTTTCACGGGCAGCTGTGATGGTCCCTTTTGAGTACCCAAACTGAAGTTTTGCGTACAACTTAAACAGATAAAATAAGATTACTAGTTGGCTCCGTATTGTAATGCGCACCCAAAACGGGGGACAAAAGAAAAACACATGTGGAGAACTGACAACCTGAAAATACAGGAGCCATGATTCGTCACGTCCCACCCGCCACTAGCCGACAAGCCTAAGAAGCATTCTTCGTGAAAACACATACACCCTACAATCTTAACCCTAAACCCTAAACCCTGCAAACCCTCAACCCTCAACCCTCAACCCTAAACCCTAAACCCTAACCCTAAACCCTAAACCCTAAACCCTAAACCCTCCAAAGCTCCCCCAAGAATCGCCTCTTTCGTGCGCCACGTTGACCCGCACGCCGTGTCGCTAGCCAAGAGGGAGGCACCCACACAGCCCTGGGAGGAAACCACTCGAGGTCCGTCTGGCTTAAAGGTATGTGGGCGGTTTAGGGTTTAGGGTTTAGGGTTTAGGGTTTAGGGTTTAGGGTCTAGGGTTTCGGTTTAGGAGCACTGCCAGCAGCAATCAGCAATCTTAATATCAGCACCCCTTCTAGGCTTAGGGTTTAGGTTTTCTATAGGGGTTAAGGGTATCACAAGAACAATTAGAATAGCACTGACCGTGAAGGGAGGGGTCTAGGTAGCATCGCCAAGTGATTTCGCGCTGTCGAGTGTGGGTGCTCAGGTTTTCTGGGGGTACTTGAGGTGCGGGGACTCTAAGCCCTCCAAGCCTCGGAAGCCTTAACCCTCTCAACCCGGAAGCCCGGGCTTAATGTAACAAAGCCGTATCAGCTCGAAGCCCTAAACCCAAATCCCAAAACCCTAAACACCCGAAGCCCTGAAATCCCCAACACCCTGAAGTCCCCCCTCCCCCAGGCCCTCACCCTAAACTCTCAATCCTAACCTAACCCCCCCACTCCCCCCCCCCCCCCCAAAAAAAAAATAAGTAAATATATATATATATATATATATATAAAGATAAATATAACTAATATATACACATGCACGTATCAAACAAATAATACAACTGTGGGAGCCTGGACGGTAGGCAGCAAAAACTTGGCGAGGAAAGGGCACAGCAATGGACATTCCTGGGCTGTTGGTCGACTCAGGATAAACTTCAGGGTATGGGGGTTCAGGGCTTGTTGCGGTTGATAGGTGTGGGTAGCGGGGGGGTTGAGGATTGTAGGGTTCACTAATTAGTGAGGTAGGGGATGGTTCGGCGGCCCGAATTTGTCTTGAGGATACGACGTGCACTGTTGAGATCAAGACCACTTTTGCCTGCGAGTGTCTTGCCACTTAACTCGAAAGCTTGCTAACTTAACAGTCTGTCTGAACCACCCAAGCCATTATGCAAAACTAAACCCTGTACCTCCCAATATAAACTGCATAAACCCTAGAAGCTTGCCACTTCTTTTGGGTAAACCCCTACACCCTTTAACCCGTAAACCCTAACCCTAAATCCTAAACCCTAAACCCTAAACCCTAAATCCTGAACCCTAAACCCTAAACCCTTAAATTTAAGGGAAGGCCCGGCTTCCCCCAAAAGTGCCTAGGATGGGTATCGCTTATACATGATGGCAAGCTGGTGCTCCTGTCCTACCCTTGTGCACTCGCGGTCTCTAAATGGGGATTTAGGGTTTAGGGTTTAGGGTTCAGGGTTTAGGGTTTAGGGGCTTGTTTACGAAAACTACCAAAAAAACACTGCCTGAACCTTCATCTTTGTAGGTTCCCCAAGCATGATGACATTGCTTTTTCCCCAGAGCCTACCCAGAAGTAGGTCGTTGGGCTGTTGAGGAACGCAGCCTAAACCCTAACCCGAAACTCTAAACCCTACCCTAAACCCTGAACTCCTAAACCGTAAAATAGGCTCTTCAGGTCAGGTCGCCCTCGGCCCTCAAGATACAGTACAGGTTTAGGGTTTAGGGTTTAGGGTTTAGGGTTTAGGGTTTAGGGTTTAGGGTTTAGGATTTAGGGTTTAGGGTTTAGGGTTTAGGGTTTAGGGTTTAGGGTCTAGGGTTTAGGGTTTAGGGTTTACGGTTTTAGGGTTTAGGGTTTAGGGTTTAGGGTTTAGGGTTTAGGGTTTAGGGTTTAGGGTCTAGGGTCTAGGGTCTAGGGTCTAGGGTTTAGGGTCTAGGGTAAGACCAAGACGCGGAAGCCATGAATGAAGGCCACTAGAGTCGAAGCTCTCATAACCCTAGCATAAAACACAAAACAACCTGTGATGGTCTAGAACGAGGCAATCTGAAGCCACAAAACCAGACCACGTTTGGTCCCCCTAAAACCCTCAACCCTAAACCCTAAACCCTAAACAGCCCCAACCTTACCCTCAACCCCAAAAAACACCGTGGCCGAGGTGCCATCAAGTGGCCGCAGAAAGGAAGAGAGACCAGGAGCAGCCTCCTAGGTGCGCCGAAGCACCCCCGAATGGGTGCTCCAGGGTTTATGGGGTTCAGGGGGTTTAGGGTTTAGGGTTTAGGGTTTAGGGTTCCCTTGCTCCAGGGTTTTGGGCTTAGGGTTCAAAGTTTGGGGCTTTAGGCAGGGTGTGGGGGTTCTACGCACTAGAAAGATAAGACCCCCATTGCAGACTCGTGGAAGCCCGACTGCTCTACCCTGAGCCCTGGACCCCAAACCTGAAACCCTGAACCCTGAACCCTGAACCCTGAACCCTAAACCCCACACCCTAACCCGACCCCTCAATCATCTCTTGGTGCTCCATCTTTCTCGTGCCCAGTCTCCGTGAATCTAGAGGCAAGGACTCAAGGAAGCCATTGCGCAACAGGAACTCCATCCTCAACACGGGACGGTTTTCTGGGGTTTGAGTCGCCTTAGACCCCTCAACCTCAGCATGAAAAACCCTAAAGGCCCTAAACCCTAAAAGGACCCTACATTGGCTTCCGCCCGACACATTCTTTGTTGGTGACTTCTCAAGTTTTGGCCTGTTGGCTTGGGGGTTTTATGGTTTCAAAATCCACCTCCCCTCTTTAGGGTTTCGGGCTTAAGGGTTAAACTGTGCCTTTTGGGGGGGATTCGGCATTGGTGGGGTTTAGGGCTTTGTAGGCCTTACTTGTGGATATGGGGAGTTTAGGAACTCCACCCCAAATCTCTGCTGAAAAGTGCGCGCCTGCCACAATTTCAGTACTTCGTCAAGGCATTGGAACGTGTGGTCCAGCAGACACCTACTTGGGGTACGCCGCTGTACGCCCTTGTACAGTCTAGGGTTTACTGCCACTTGCTTCAGCACCCCACGCCTTCCCCCCCCCCCCACCCAAAAAAAATGCTAAAAACGAATAATCCCTGGATTGCCCTTATAAGGAGGAATATCTTGACTTCTTTGGGGGGTTCTTAAGCAAACAGTAGTTTAGTGCCCGGGGGACTTCCTGAGGAAGCCTGTGGGGGAGCGGCCAGCTATCTTCGTGCGGACGCCCTGAAACCCTGCAATGCTGGTAAAGTCATGGAGAGTACCGTAGTCAGAGTTCATCATAGTATAGTACAACAACAATGAATCTTGTTCCCTAAAGCCCTAATTAAGCCCTAAACCCTTCATCAAACAGCCCTTCGCGAGCCGCGTTCAAAAGATTCCGCCAGCTCGGCAGCCGTGCTAGGGTGCTGTGGCTTTTTGGCGGTTTAGTTGTTTTGGGGGGTTTGCTGGGGTGTGAGGGAGGTTCGTAGGTCATTTTCATTTGGCAAAGTCCCAAACCAACCCCTCGAACGTCCTGCCCCCCCTCCCATTGCACACAGGCAAGCTCTGCCTAGGAGCATCGCGTTGTAGGGCCCGCCCCAGGTCTCCAGTGGCGGAGAAAGCACTGGACTCCCATCCTCAGCGGGAATGGTCAGCAACAGGGCTTCTACTATCTTGAGCCCTGGCTATCTCCTTGATGCCAACGAATCCGAAATCATGAGACAAAAACCTCCACCACCACCAGCACCACCACCACCACAAAAGCAAAAGCCACCGCTCCCCAGGCAGATGACGCGCCTAAGCAGCAAGAGCCCCCCCCTAACGGCCCCAACACCCTAGACCCTCATGCCTATAACCATACAATTTACATCCTAAACCCTAAACCCCTGCAGCCTAATCCCTCAACCCTTGACTCCTCAAACCCGTGAACCCTAAAACCCCAGGGCCTCCCTGCGACCCATCGGGACAACCCCCAGACCCTAGGCTTGGGACATTTTAGGGTTCAGGGGTTCAGGCGTGCAGGGTTTTAGGGTTTAGGCTAGATCTTTTCCTCTAGGCTGCCCGGCAACCTACCAGCAGAATTACAAAGGGTGCTGCGTTGTTGTTCTCAGGAGGTATATAAGCCACCTAAACCCCAAAGGGGAGAGTAAGAGTACTACTGGGCGTCCAAGTACGAGGCCTTGCTAGGTCGGCCCATGAGAAGAACCCCCAAAACCCTATTCTAATTATTGAGGCGCCAAAAAAAACATTAC